TATTATTAACATTGAAGTTTTGTGGGCGGCAATAGGAACTCCAACATGAGTGTAACAATTCCTCTTTTTTTCTTTGAAAAGAAGTTGAAATAAAAATCAACTTAAATCAAAGGGCAGCAAGCTCTGTGGTATTTTCTGATCTTTGCAATCTAAATGTTACTGTATATCTGTATGTGAATTCCTGTATAAGTTTATTTTTATGTACTATAATTCATATTGCAGGGCACCAGAGATTGATACATACGGAATTTTGCATAACTAGAGTTGCATCAAAAAATCATTTATGTTCATTTTTTATGATAGCCACACTTTACCCTTGCATATTGTGGCTATTTCCTTAACAAAGACAATAAAAAAAAGAATTAAACAAGAACCGGTTGAACCGGGTGATGCTCCCCGACAAGGTTCTGGACACAGGAAAGTATAAAAAAATGAACAAAGGGCAAAACTCTAAAATTAGGCAAAGCGGAGTTATGTTTTTTTTGCACTGCACTTCTATTCGATGAGATCTATCTATCTATAAAGTTTCCTGATGATATCAGAATTATGTCCCAGGTAAAAGTCAAAGTGTAAAAATGAACAAAGGGCAATAACTCCAAAATTAGACCAGGCTTTGGTTAGGTTATTAAGCATTGCAGTTCTATTCAATTATATCTAGCTACCTACAAAGTTTCATGTTGATATCTCTAATAGTTTTAAAGTAATGTCCAGGACAAAAGTCAAAACGTAAAAATAAACAAAGGGCAATTTTTTCAAAATAAGGCAAGGCAGAGTAATGATTCTTAAGCACTGCACTTCCACCCAATGAGACCTATCTATCTACAAAGTTTCATGTTGATATCTCTTATACTTTTAGAGTAATGTCCCAGACAAAGTTCAAAGTGTAAAATAAACAAAGGGCAATAATTCAAAAATTAGGCAAGGCAGAGTTACAGTTCTTGTGCACTGCACACCTACTCAATGAGATCTATCTAACTACAAAGTTTCATATTGATATCTCTTATACTTTTAGAGTTATGTCCCGGACAAATTTCAAAGTGTAAAATAAACAAAGGGGGGTAATTCAAAAATTAGGCAAGGCAGAGTTACGGTTCTTGTGCACTGCACACCTACTCAATGAGATCTATCTACCTACAAAGTTTCATGTTGATACCTCTTGTTGTTTCAAAGTTATGTCCCGGACAAGAAAAGGGGACGAACGAACGGACGGACGGACAAGGCGGCGACTATATGCTCCCCAGAAATTTTTTCGGGGAGCATAAAAAATGTTGACTCGACTGGGATTTGAACTCCAGACCTCTCACACACTAAATGAGCGCGTTACCCCTGCACAACGGAGAAGTTTTAAAATCATAGGCTGAATAAAATCAAGTGATTCTAAATTTAGAATTTCCCTTGCATTAGCAGCACAAGCTGAATAAAATCATGTCATTCTAAATTTAGAATTTTGATTGCATTTCGGGTTAGGGTAATTTCGAGGTATTTTGTTCAGGGTAAACCTGTTGTTTAAAATTGAAGTAAATAATTTAGCAAAAATCTTCTCGCCCAAACAGTCCAACATGTAGAAACTATATATTCAACTACTCGGCAGTCAGATTTATTTGTGTAGTATTCGGTAATCGACATCGCTAAAAATAGCATTTTCATTGATTAAAATCATATTCATCCACGTAATTTGTGAGTGTGCATTTATTGACGATTCTATAAGCCAATGCTACTTTTAAAGTTTGAATGTGTATTAATTTGTTGGAGTCTTGTAACAAAAAAAAAATTGTTCTTTCTTTTTAATTGCTGGTTTTTAAGCAGTTTTGAGTGAGAACTAATTTGCTGTGTTAGGTCTGTTAGGAAATTTTGTGTTAGACAGTGGATGTTAGCTATGTATTTGCTGATCTGCGGTCAGAAAATACAAAAATGAAAATCAGGCAGACAAAAAAAATTGTATATATATAACTGGAGCTGGTCTCTCCTCCATCAATCCTAAAATCTAAAATGAGCTAAAACTACAAAAATTGAGTTTTGTGAGGAAAATTGTAAAATTGAAAATCAATTTAAGTAATTACTAAACAAAGAGCTTAAACCTTATCAAAAAGCGCACCAAATGCAGTGCAAACACTTGTCACACCAGTTAAGTAAACAAATAATAATAATAAAAGATAAATTTAAGAGTGTCATGGCTGTTACACACTTCACATCTCAATAAAATGAATAATTTTATGATTGTAGATGTTCAAGATATTGGTATTTCTTCAAATGTTAATTTCCATGAGAAAAAGAGACAAAACTCTACAAATGTTAACCCTTTCGCTGCCATAGGGACGGCTTATGCCGTCCCTGTTATTTTCGGCGTATTTGCCATATGGACGGCTTTAGCCGTTTCTATAATAATAATAGTAATAATAATAAATTAATAATAATAATAATAATTATAAAGAAAATTATACCATCGACAATAATTATTATTATACTCACATATTTGGAAACATATATAATTATTATAAATGTTAATTTCCATGAGAAATGGGACATAACTCTACAAATAATGATCCCTATTTTATGTCCCTTGTTTTACAGATTTGCCTCATCTCCATTACTCTGCAGGTAAGCCAAAAAAAAGTACAATATCTCTGATATTTTTAATATATGTACTTTCTATCAATATCCACTTTAAATATGTTTACTATCAATAACAATTCTAAGTTTAAAAGTGGCATAACTTCAAAGAAAAAAAAAACAACCCATTCAAGATCATGTCCCATGGGTAACAACTGCACCTTGCCACAATAAAGTACATGTGTATACCAAGTTTTGTGGTTGTAACCTTTGATAAGTTTACAAATCCTTTAATTTGAAAAGCTATTTTGACAAAAAATTCTGTTTTAAAAAGGGGCATAACTCTAAAATGATTCCTTTCAGAATTATGCCCCTTGTCTTACAACTGCCTTCTGTCATGTTCAACAAATACTTAAAGTTCCATATTAGATACTTTTAGAAAGTGTTTTGAGTGATCCTCTATTTAGTTTTGGCACTACAATGACAAAGATCCACTAATCAGAAAAGTTGGATTATTTTTTGGAAAAGACAAGTTAGTACCTCTAAGTCTTGATTTAAAAGTAAACGAGAAACTTATGTACCAAAATAAAATAACATACACTATTTACAAAGTGACAAAAATAAAATAACCATACTCTTTCCGCCAATACAATCATTAATACAAGAATGAAAACATGGCAAGAAATATCTTTACACAACACCTAGAATAATAGATTCAAACTGGAAATTTGTCACAGAAGTGACAAATAACCCCACCAAAGCATTTTCAAAGAATTTATCATTGGAGATTCATCTTTTATGTTTATTTAAAGTTAAGTCTGAAACAAGATTGCATTTGAGAAAAATGCTATGCCACCGCATGGCTCAAATTTCATAGCTGTACATCAAAGGACAAGAAAGTAGGTCACATCATCAAAATCTAGGTCAAATTTCAATTTTACAACTAAAACTGTGCACATGGTCAAAATGTCATTGCTGTACATCAAAGGACAAGAATGTAGGTCACTGTCCCCTTGGGCAAAGCATAATTTTATATAATAATTTGATACAGGTCCACCAAACAACATTTCAAGTCAAATATCTAAGCTATAGCTTTCTCCCATTCAGAAAATATTTGTTTTATTTTCTGTTTTTACTATGTGTACATAATGAGAATCACTGCCCCCGGGCAGGGCCAATTTTTGACATTTGAACAACTTTGGTAGAGGACCTATAGATGATATCATATATCAAACATCAAAGCTCTATGCCTTGAACCTTCAGACAAATATTTTTTTTTCACTATATGAACATAATGAAAATCAATGACCCCCGGGGCGGAACCAATTTTGACCCCAGGGCTATAATTTGAACAATCTTGCTAGAGGTTCACTACACAATGTTTCATGCAAAATATCTTAACTCTATCCTTTGTAAATTTAGAGATGAGTTTTTAAGTTTTAACTATATACATATAAGGAAAACCAATGACCCCTGGGGCGGGGCCGATTTTGACCCCAGGGCTATAATTTGAATAATCTGGGTAGAGGTCTACCAGACAATGCCTTATGCAAATATATATAGTGAAAATCAATGACCCCGGGGCGGGGCCAATTTTAACCCAAGGGCTATAATTTGAACAATCTTGGTAAGGGTCTACCAGATGATGCCTTATGCAAAATATCTAAGCTCTAGGCCTTTTGGGTTTTTACAAGAAGGTATTTTAAGTTTTTACTATATGTACATGTAGTGAAAATCAATGACCCCCGGGGCGGGGCCAATTTTGACCCCAGGGCTATAATTTGAACAATCTGGGTAGAGGTCTACCAGACAATGCCTTATGCAAAATATCTAAGCTCTAGGCCTTTTGGGTCTTTACAAGAAGGTGTTTTAAGTTTTTACTATATGTACATATAGTGAAAATCAATGACCCCGGGGCAGGGCCGATTTTGACCCAAGGGCTATAATTTGAACAATCTTGGTAAGGGTCTACCAGATGATGCCTTTTGCAAAATATCTAAGCTCTAGGCCTTTTGGGTTTTTACAAAAAGGTATTTTAAGTTTTTACTATATGTACATATAGTGAAAAATCAATGACCCAGGGGCGGGGCCAATTTTGACCCCAGGGCTATAATATGAACAATCTTGTTAAAGGTCTACCAGACAATGCCTTATGCAAAATATCTAAGCTCTAGGCCTTTTGGGTCTTTACAAGAAGATTTTTTAAATTCATTCTTATAATTCCTTTTGGTTGCCATTGCAACCAGATTTCTGCATGGAATGAAATTCTTTGAACAACTTTGGAAGCCCTTCACCCAAGGAACAATCCTGCCAAGTTTGGTTGAAATTGGACTACTGGTTTTTCACAAGAAGATTTTTTTAAGTTCACTATATAATCTATATAACACACACACACACACACACACACATACATTCATACACACAGGTGAATTGCTATATGCCACCGCATCGCAAATGCTGCGGTGGCATAAAAAATCAAATCTGAGAATTGCAAACAAAAATGTGATTCTAGTGTACCCCTAACCATATAATATGGTGGGGAAATAAAAAAAATAACATGCAAATAAACAACAACATTTTCCTGAGATTAATTTCTGAACACAGTTATGGTAAATATCACTTGTCAACAGATATGAATATTGCCATGTGCAGCAATTAAATCACATGAACACAATCTTCTAATGAACACTATCTGGTAATGTTTGTGAAGTTCACTATCTTCTTTCAATCACAGTCTGTTTTTTTAACACAACACTTTAACGAACATAATATTATGAACACATGTCTAAGTATAAACACACAACGTGCCTTGTACACCATCTGCTGTTTTATGATCACATAAACACAAACACTCTGCCACTAGAATTGGTGCCGGCAACCAGGTTCAGAGTTGGATGTAGAGCATTCAGGCTGCATACACTGTTTAGGTAGTCTTCATCTCTAAAGGCATGCAGCTTTTTGCCAGCAACACTGAACAGTGATATCTGAAATTAAAAGAGCGGTCAGAGTTAAAGACCCTTGATTCCGGTGATAATTTAGGGTAAATAATTTAAAGTCAAGAGAACCTGATCCTGAATTATACACACATGACTTAACGGAGCTCAACAGAGGTCCAAAGGTCTAACTAGAAATGTGTCCATAGGACACGGGTGCCCCCACCGCGCCACTGTTCTGTCTATCTTTTTACAAAGTCAAGGGAAATAACTCTACAAATACTGGATAAATCCACAAGCGAAATCCCAAGTGCAAATCTAAATATGCTGAGCAACCTGCCCATAAGGTTTAATGACTATGTCAAATCCTTTTTGAGTAACTTGCGACACAAGTTGAAAATTGCAAAAATTTTCTAAGTCAAGGGCAATAACTCTGAAAATACTAAATAAATCCAGACGAAAATACCTGGTGCACAACTGCACATGCTGATCAATATTCCTGTAAAGTTACATGACTCTAGGTCAAATACTTTTTGAGTTACGTGCGACACAAGTTGAAAATTGCAAAATTTTACTAAGTCAAGGGCAATAACTCTGAAAATACTAAAAATATCCAGACGAAATAACACAGGTGCACAACTACACATGCTGATCAACATTCCTGTAAAGTTTCATGACTCTAGGTCAAATACTTTTCGAGTTAGGTGCGACACAAGTTGAAAATTGCAAAATTTTACTAAGTCAACGGCAATAACTCTGAAAATACTAAATATATCCACACAAAAATACCCAGGTGCACAACTACACATGCTGATCAACATTCCTGTAAAATTTCATGACTCTAGGTCAAATACTTTTTGACTTACGTGCGACACAAAAGTGAACGGACGGACGGACAAGTGTAAATCTAAATGCCCGCCACTAACGTGGGGGCACAAAAACATAAAAACTTGGAATTTCTGCATAGATTAACACATAAACAGCAATATAAGGTACATAAGCATAAAAATTTGAAAATTCTACATAGATTAATTTAAACACATAAAACGACAATATAAGGTATATAAGCACACAAGTAAAACCATTGACCTTCTGTAAGCTTGTAGGGCTAGTTTATTACATGGATGAAATGTTTATTCAAGACAGAATATGAACCTACTAAAAAGAGGAGCAAATGTTTATAATCAAGTCACCTTACAAACACTTAAACACCTAATAAACTAAACTGAAGTACAACTTGTAGCCCCAAAAAGAAATGTTTAAAAAATTTCTCCTCTTCAATCCTATCTTTTTTCATACAGATTTAATCCTAATCAAACTCTTACCTCTCTAGGCCTGTTCATGCTGCCAACAATAAAACAATCTTCTCTGGCAGGGTGCCAAGCAGCTCTGAATCCAGTTAGCCAACGTCCAGTTTGATTGTTATGACTGAATGAGAAAATTTTAGTCTACATGAATTCAAACTTTTATAATGACCTTACCGCTGCATAGTTTGCAATTTGTCACCTAAGTGGAATAACTGATTAACTGCTGTTAAATTTAGAAGTACTTATTACATTATAGCACTAAGGTGACAAATTGTATATGAGTAACCCTAGCAACAGTCTGTAAGAATTATTATAACCTATCTAATGAGGACTCCTTTAAATTAAAAGTTTAACAGATATCATCTATAGTTAATTTCCTTTGTTGATCTTTTTGTTATGTTTGTCCTTTTTTAGTTGGTTTTTGGACTCAACATCACTGTTTTTTAGTCATATGTTGACTTAACAGATTAACTGGCAGAAGAGGCCTTAGGTGCTCCCCTATGCAACATTTCTGACACAGTAGAGACACTGACCTTCCAGCAGTTTTAGACTTGACTATGACTTTGTTAACTAGCAATCTTACCTAATGGATTTCTTCACTGTAACATTTGGACCAATTTCTGAACTGTCATAAATTCTGCAAATGAAAAATCATTTTCAACATATAATCTTCCGGTAATGTTGCTACCCTAAAATAAATTCCTTTCAGAGAAGATTGTTCACGTAATTTAATATACGTGTTATTTCTAAGAAAACATAACTTTTTTTTCATAGTGAGTATTATATCTAGGAAACATTAAAGTTGCGGCGTGGCCAAGTGGTTAACACGTCAGACTAGTAATCAAAGGATTGCTGGTTGCATGAGTTCAAACCCAGTCGGTAGCAAGCCGTTGTCTCCTTGAGCAAAAAACTAAAGTTATGGCTTGGTACTGGTTTTTCCAGAAATGGATTCGAAAGTGGTTTAATAACTTAATGGCTTCAAACACAATTTAACTAAAATAAATTTGTATAAACTAAACTGAAAGATTTTGAAAAGACCAATAGTTTTGGAGATATCAATTGGCACTCAAAATCGTAACCGAAGTTTGACGGCCATGCTGACGCGAGAATAATAGCTCTCCCTATTCTTGAACAGTCAAGCTAAAAATATGCCCTCCATATCCATTGGATGTTAAGAGTATGGATGATATAATTATATTACACACATATCACAAGTCTTAAGTAGTGTAAAATAATCTTACGTTAATTTATCATTGATAGATGTCGCCAGAATGTGTTTCCCTGTCACAGGTGAGAAGTATGCACTATTTATGTTTCTTCCAATAGCAAGCTCACATAAAGCTTTGCTCTTCTTTGGTTTCAAGTTCCTTTGATCCCAAACACTAACACTCCTGTATAACAAACAAAATTTTCAACAACAACAAAAAGACTGCATTGCTGTCTAATTTATTTACATTGATTTTTTTTTTCATCAAAAAAATGTGTCCACAATTTCTGGATCAGGAATGTTTTAGAAGTATATCAAGATCAATGGGGAGAAAAAAAATTCATAAAAACATGTATTTGCTACAACTGTTTTGTTATAAAGAAATCTAAAAATTTGGAACATTGGTTGGGGGAAAACTTTTGCTATTTGGAAAGTCTACCAGACCTATGCAAAAATAGCTAAAAATAACACTGATTTTGATAGCTAACTCTTTCCTCCGATACTTTCAACATTAACTGGCGGAGTAAGTTTTTTTACTTTTAGGAGGACCTCATATCATTCAATACAGAAAATTCTTCCATAACAAGAGCTGTCGGTAGGACAGCACGCTCGACTATTCTAAGTGCTTGATAGTAAAAGAGCTTTGATAATGTTAAATTTTTTAAGATCACAAAAGGTCTAATTTTTTTTAATAAATTCATGTTATAGGCCTTAGAGAGAGTCTAATTATACAGTATTGGCTTGACTATTCGGAAGGTAATGTCACAAGGTTGTTTTATTGAGTATAATAATACTAATCACCTATGAATACATAAATTTGACAGAAAAGGTACGAAGGCTTCTAATTAAGATGTTTTATCAAGTAAATCACTGCTTTATTATTTTGAATGCATAAAATTGTCCCAAAAAAAGGCACAAACCCTTCAGTAGTAATTGAGATAACAGCTTTACAAGCAAAACTTTACCATGAATTTCTAAGTTGTAAAAAGGGGAGAAAAATCAGCCTAAATGCAAGATAGAATTATGGATCTTTGTCAGTGACCTACAATTATGATCCTAAATGCATATGTGAAGTTTTAAATAAATATCTTTAATAGTTATTGAGATATGTAAAACTTGCAAGTAAACATTAACCAAGAGACTAAGTAGAAAAGGGGATATGAATCAGCCTTAATGCAAGATAGAGTTATGGAACTTGGTCAGTGACATACAATTATGACCCTCCAATTATGACCCTAAGTGCATGTGTAAAGTTTCAAGTAAATATCTTTGAAGACCTTTAACCTTTAACCAAAATTTCTAAGTTTCAAAGGGGCAAATAATTCTTCAAATTTTGCAGGCAGAGTTATGCAATTTTGCAAACTTATGTACATTGTTACTATAAAAAAGTATTTTAAATTTCAATTGAATATCTCAAGCAATAATTGAGATATTTGACTTTACAAAAAAACTTTAACCAAAATTTCTAAGTTCTAAAGGGGCATAATTCTGTCAATATTGTAGGCAGAGTTATCCAACTTGTCAATCTGATGTACCTTGTTACTATAAATAAGTATTGTAAGTTTCAATTGAATATCTCAAGCAATAATTGAGATATTTGACTTTACAAAAAACTTTAACCAAAATTTCTAAGTTAAAAAGGGGCATAATTCTGTCAATATTGTAGGCAGAGTTATCTAACTTGTCAATCTGATAAACCTTGCTACTATAAGTAAGTATTGTAAGTTTAAATTGAATATCTCAAGTAATTACTGTGATATTTGACTTTACAAAAAACTTTAACCAAAATTTCTAAGTTAAAAAGGGGCATAATTCTGTCAATATTGTAGGCAGAGTTATCCAACTTGTCAATCTAATGTACCTTGTTACTATAAATAAGTATTGTAAGTTTCAATTGAATATCTCAAGTAATGATTGAGATATTTGACATTACAAAAAACTTTAACCAACGCAGACGCTGACGCGGACACCGACGCCGGGGCAACTACAATAGCTCTCATATTCTTCGAATAGTCGAGCTAAAAACTGCTCATGCAGATATATTAAATAAAGATGAAAATATGCATTAATTGATAAAATCACACAAGCAAAGACTTTAGTAACATGTTTTTTTATATGCATGACTCAGGTCATACAAAGGTGGATGTGGTATAATTTTGCAAAAGGCGCCTAATACAAGTCATACAAAGGTAAAGAGATAATGTCATTTTGTAAAAGGCGCCTAAATCAGACCACACAAAGGTGAAGACATAATATTATTCAGTAAAAGGCGCCTAAATCAAGTCATACAAAGGTAAAGAAATAATGTCATTTTTGTAAAAGGCGCCTAAATCAGACCACACAAAGGTGAAGACATTGTGTCATAATTTTTATAAAGGTGTATAAATACATGTCATACAAAGGGGAAGACGTAATTTTGTTAAAGACGCCTTAATACCCTAACATTGTTATGACCCAACATATATTAACTTCCTATAAATAAACCAACTTACCCTGCAACACCCGCTGTACAAAAGTAGTAGGGCTGTGTTGGGTGACAACTGACAGTCCTAAAAGATTTGTGACTTAATTCATACATCTGTTCAGCTGTGGTACTGGAACAAAAAATATTTCCTCATTTCAAAGTACAAACATGTCAAATCTGGCACATACATAATCATCAATATAATCAGAAAGTCAACACAATTTCAATTTTACATATGTTCTTAAAATGCCAAAATTGAAACATATATGTTACTTTGTCTGAATCAATACCGCAAAACCAAAAATGTTAATTCACGTGTTAATAGTTGGAGGATATTTTCACAGCTTTCTGTCCACGCCCTACCCTTTATGAGGCCTCAAACAGTGAAAAAATGCCCTATTTAGGTCCAAACACTGTTTTTCGTTTAAAAAAGTGACCACTTTTTGTCAGCATGAGGGATCAGGGGAGTGCCAGAAGAGGGATGTGAAATTTATGATTAAGCATGTTGTTACAGAGGTTATGGTTCAGTCAACATATGTGCCAAGTTTCATCAATATTGAAGCATTTTTCATAGCTTTAAAGCAGTTGCAACTTGTAACAGGAGGCTTTTCAATGAAAATGGCCATTTTTCACAATATGCTTACGGGGTAAAAGGTTAAATTAACAATTCATATGCAACATAATAAAACAGTAGACTAGTCAGAGAGGGACTCACATCTTTTCTATGGCTTTTTTTGGTGTGAATCAAATCTGAATTGTTATAGCTGATATTGGGAACCAATCAGCACCTACAAAACTGCTTTTCCATGCATCAAAACAAGTGATTGCACCTCTAGACAAAATTAAAATATACCCATGCCTATTTTCAGACTTTCTATCCTATGCATATATTTTGACATGGCACCATATGCATAATACAATCATGGCTATAAGCACATTTAACAATAATATTCAAAATACAAGTTTGCCAATAAATGTTTTAATTTAATGTATTTTTTGGTATGCAATAAATAAAATATAACACATACATTCATATAGCTTCACTTCAATGTTTTTTTTTCATTTGTTGAATAAAATCGCAACAATATGTTTGCCAGAGGGTCAATAATTCATATAATGCAATTCAACTTCAATATGAAATCTACACTCAAATCAAAATCCTCTGTTCCTTACATTTTTATGCAAGTATCAAAAACAATGTTGTCCATATTCATATGTTACAGAATTCATATCTGCAATGATGACACTAACAAAGAAATCAAATTTGCAATGATGATACTAAAAAAGCCATTCTTGAAAAATTTGAATTTTTCAACAATTGTAAAACTTTTGTAATGCTTTTAGAACTAATATAACTAATGTGGCTTTACGAAAATAACTTTTTTAAGTATGGTATTTTCATAACAAAAGAGATTGGCTGTATCATTTTAACCCTATTTTCTATCACGAAAAGTGTTTTTAAATCTTACCTGGCTGTTCTAATGTCTACACAGGCTACACAACCTGTGTTTTCAGACACCAACATAGTGTGTGGAGACGTGAAAACGAAATTCCTCAACAAAACATCGTCATCCTCTGGTTCATTGAATACCTGTTAATGAAAAAAGATATTGTTTGAATAGCCCACGGAACAGACCACGATAGATGGCCAAGATGTGCCGGCTGAAATTGGTCTATATTGTTGACATGGACATATTCAAATGACTTTGGAATAGTTGTGTAACAATACAAATGAGCCGCGTCACAACAAAACCAACATAGTCCGTTTGTGACCAGCATGGATCCAGACCAGTTTGCGCAGTCTGATCAGGATCCATGCTGTTCGCTATCAGTTTCTCTACTTGTTATAGGGTTTGTAAGCGGACAGCATGGATCCTGATCAGACTGCGCTTATGCGCAGGCTGGTCTGGATCCATGCTGTTCGCAAACGCACTATGTTGGTTTTGTTGTGACGCGGCTCAAATGTCCATTCAAAGTCAACGGTTTGTTTGGTTTTACAGCTTACCAACACAGAATATGGTGCTGAAACAGGAAACCAGATTTTGGCTAACCACTATTAACCTCTAACAACACCAATTTTTATAATAAACACAATTTTTATTATTAACTTGAGTATTTGCTGAGTGAGCATTGTAGTTTTTTTCTGTGTTTTTTGTTTGTTTGTTTTGGGTCGGGGTTTATGTCGCAACACAGTATAGGTCAAATGCTGATTTTCAAGCTTTTCTGTTGGAGGAAGACCTCAGTTGCTCTTCCTTGCATTATTTCAGGCACAAATGAGCACCTGGGTAGAACCACCAATGTTTCATAGGCTAGCTGGATAGCGTCCTATCATGAAAGACTTCAAAGTCCCTGTCAGGATTTGAACCCACAGCAGTGAAGGCCAAGTGGTTTGAAATGAATGACCACAACCAATCACCCATGGAAGACCCACCATTGTTTGATTTCTCACATGCCATACCCTCTCTTTATATTTTTTAAAAATTTTTACGTTTTGGTACAATAAAAGTAAAGTGGTTACCAACACTTATCTTCAACATATTTATTATGTGGCAAATACGAAAAATGAAACCTTACATCAATGAAGATTTCTTTTTGCATATCTCCGCATCTCAGACTTCCGTCATAGCCACAAGAATACATCTTCTCTGGCGAGTGTACAGGAAAATCGAGACATGTGATTGGTCGGGAATGAGGCGCGTAACAACACACCCCTTCGGCTCTTGATTCAGTATTACACAGCTAAAAATAGAAATTGAAATAAGAATTTAAACTTACGTGTTTTACAAAAGTTCGGATTTCCTTTCATTAAAAAGGATCAATTCAAGTTTTGGTTATTTGAGACTATATGGAAAGGCTAGAATAAATTTATATAGATTCACAGTTTTAGTAAAAGGTTTCTATGAAATGGACTTAATTTTCATCCCAGTAGTATGGGGGGCATTACATTTGCAGGGGGCTTTTCAAGCCAATGTTATATTTAGTCAATACTATAAAATCTCCAAGATGTGAAGTTTCAGACATTTCTTAACATTTTATGACCTTAGAGTATTTTATTTTATTTTCTTTGTTTGATTATACCTTATTAAGGCAAACTACACTAGGATAGACAACATATATCAAAACTATATCACCGTATGTATAGTTTCTATCAAAGTTTCAGAGGTTATTTTTTCACACTCAAATACTTATGCTTTGTTTAGCTGACATGATTATTTCTCCACAGTTTCATCTCACCTACATACATATGCTCCAAACCAAACAAATTTTATAAAATCTCTAAGATGTTAAACCTCTGGTGAACAGACAAATGTAAGTCACAATTTACCAAGAGACTAAAGAGATGATGATGTAAAAAAGAAATTGAGAATATCACAGCCATCAGTCCATCACAAAAGCTAAAATATCCCTTCTTATTAGAGGTGTAACGATTCATCGATGCATCGATGTATCGCGATCTGTCTTGTCCTCGACGTATGCATCGTAATGAAATTACAAATTCCAATATATTGCGATGCAATACATATTTCACCTCCCGATGTATCGATACAGCGGGAATGTATCGCAATACACTAATAATATCTTCCAGGAATATAAGGCAAACGTAATTTTTGAAAGACTGAAGAAAGAAAAATAGTTCGGATGAAAACAATAAACGAGCGCGACTATTATCATACCATCGTTGTCATCTCGTTTCCCCATGTCCGCATTTCCCTATTTAACTGTTACTAACCAAGTTTTATCAATTCCATGTCAATGGGCTGGTGTTCTTTGAACTTGTTTATAATAAAAACATTATTAGAGATCTGTGCGATTTCATAAAAAAAAAACTAGAACTATCACTAAATGTGATTAATACCCCCACAAGTCTGCTTCGGAAATGAGGATGTTACTAGTAACAGAATACCTTGTAAAAGAATTGAAACATAGAGTTATGGTTGTGGGCAATTAAAGATAATTGTGGTTCATGTATGTTGCATTTCCTTTCAATGTGGTTGGCCATTGATGAAGTTTAATTGAATTACTCTGTAATAAGTCCAGAAAGACAAAGAAAAAGAACAAAGGGCAATAACTCTATAAATACTTAAGATAGAGTCATAGTTCTTGTGCACTGCACTTCCTCTTATTGTGCTTGACCATTGTATGAAGTTGTTTTGAATTCCAACCTGTACGTTTTAAGTTATGCTCCGGACAAGGAAAAGTATCAAAGGGCAGTAACTCTGTATTTTGTCAAAATGGATTTATGGCTCTTGTGCACTGCACTTCCTTTGAATGTCCTTGACAACTGTATGAAGTTGTACTGAATTCCAAACAGTAGTTTTCAAATTATGCTCTGGACAAGGAAAAGTAACAAAGGGCAATAACTCTATAACTAGTCAAGATGGAGTTATGGTTCTTGTGCACTGCACTTCCCCTTATTGTGCTTGACCATTGTATGAAGTTATAATGAATTCCAACAATAAGTCTTCAAGTTATGGTCCAGACAAAAGAAAGCAAAGGAAAAGTAACAAAGGGCAATAACTCTGTACTTAGTCAAGATGGAGTTATGGTTCTTGTGCACTGCACTTCCCCTTATTGTGCTTGACCATTGTATGAAGTTGTTTTGAATTCCAACCAGTAGTTTTAAAGTAATGCTCTGGACAAGGAAAAGAAACAAAGGGCAGTAACTCTGTAATAAGTCAAAATGGAGTTATGGTTCTTGTGCACTGCACTTCCTCTCAATATGCTGGACCATTGTATGAAGTTATAATGAATTCAAACAATTTGTCTTCAAGTTATGGTCCGGACAAAAGAAAGCAATGGAAAAGTAATAAAGGGCAATAACTCTGTAATTACTTTAGATAGAGTTATGGTTCTTATGCACTGCACTTCCTCTCAATGTGCTTAACAATTGTATGTAGTTATATTGAATTCCAACCATTAGTCTTCAAGTTATGCTTCGGACAAAAAAAAGAAGGCATTTGAAAAGCAACAAAGGGCAATAACTCTGTAATTACTTTAGATAGAGTTATGGTTCTTGTGCCCTGCACTTTCCCTTATTGTGTTTGACAATTGTATGAAGTTGTTTTGAATTCCAAGCAGTAATTTTCAAGTTATGCCACGGACAAGGAAAAGTAACAAAGGGCAATAACTCTGTAATTAGTCAAGATAGAGTTATGTTTCTTACGCACTGCACTTCCTCTCAATGTGCTTGACCATTGTATGTAGTTATATTGAATTCCAACCATTAGTTTTTAAGTTATGCTCCGGACAAGGAAAATGCAACAGTCAAAAAAAAAAGCAAATGAAAAGCAACAAAGGGCAATAACTCTTTAATTACTTTAGATAGAGTTATGGTTCTTGTGCACTGCACTTCCCCTTATTGTGTTTGACAATTGTATGAAGTTGTTTTGAATTCCAACCAGTAGTTTTCAAGTTATGCCCCGGACAAGGAAAAGTAACAAAGGGCAATAACTCTGTAATTAGTCAAGATAGAGTTATGATTCTTGTGCACTGCACTTCCTCTCAATGTGCTTGACCATTGTATGTAGTTATATTGAATTCCAACCATTAGTTTTCAAGTTATGCTCCGGACAAGGAAAATGCAACGGACGTCTGGACCGACCGACCGACCGACCGCCCGACCGACCAACCGACCGACCGACCACAGGGTGACTCCTATATACCCCCCCAAACTTCGTTTTTGGGGGTATAATTATTTTGTAGCACTTAATGTCGGATTAATATAGTGATGATGACAACATCCCCATGTGATATACGTCACGTATTTATACTTTCATGTCCGTTGACATCATTTTCCCGTAAAAAAAACAACAAAGCAAACAAACAGAAAACATGAAGACTGCAAAATTTCTAGAAGGGGAAATTACAGTTAATCCTTCCTGGTCATATAATTCACGAGTTTTGGGAACATTGTAGATTTTGGGGAACCATCAGACAGTGTTGTATTATGTGGAAGACCGGACGTGGAGTGTTTGCAAAATTTGCAAACTCAAAATAAAATAATCTGGGGTTGAGCACAAATCTTTCGAGAAAACTGAGACTGAAACTTATAAACTGTCATTTTCACAATTGTTGACCTAATTGTAGATCACTTGTTACTATTTTTCTCAAAAGAAAAATCTTTAGTGGTGTATTGTAAGACTGAAATTATTAAACTGCCATATTTACAGAAGTGGACTTCAGTGTTAGAAAAGCTAGTAGATATCAAATTGCTGTTATGGTATAATTAAAAATACCTTTAATCCTCAAGTAATCAGAAAAGTAAATTTTTGAAAGATCAAATTCGGAAACCAAGTTATAACAACAAGTTAAAGAGTTTATTTTTTTGTTATTGTAGTAGTTTTATATTATATTCGTAATAATACTGTAAACAAATGGCCAATTTTTTATATACTAAGTCTGAAAGTCAGTATCGTGATACGTATCACATCGCAACATAAGAATCGCAATATGCATCGCATTTCTTCAAAGTATGCAATACATATCGTGAATCGCATCGTTTTGAAAAACAAATATCGTGATATGTATCGTGACAGAAAAAAATGGCAATGCACAGCCCTACTTCTTATAATGGTCAGCATATAATTTCCAACCCAAAAAAGAACTTACTACGTCCCAGATGCCTATTTTTCCCCACTTGTCCCCCACTGCTGCTATCACTTTAGTGTCTGAGGGATGAAGTGCCAATGAGAAGGTCCGTTCAGGAACCACTTTAGCTACACGTTCAGCAGTTACTTTGGTCTTTGACATCTTTTCAGCATATCTGTAAAACAAGTCAGAAAATTAAAACAATATTTTAAGCACAGAAATTTATTTTAATATATAAAATTCTTACTGAATATGTCTTATTTGAAAAAAAAAGAATGAATAAACTATGTATGGGAAGTTGCATTCCTAATTATGGGTCAAGCAAAGTTGGTACTTTCTGTGACAACCTAAGTCAATTTAAGTTTAAAACATACAAAATTTATCCAAAATCTCTCCCTTTGTACAGAGTATAAAACTATATGAACGCAAGCAGGTAGAATAACAGAACCACACTACTAGTATATATATAGCCAGGTGAGCATGCACATCTATGTAAATGATGTTGTTAGACCATAACCAATAATGTCAAACTGACATGACAGTACTTGGTCATTTGCTAATAAAACATTCCAAATTTACAGCATAGCAAATACATCATACAAATTTAGCAGGGAATGGATAATTTTGTTTTGGTTTTACAGTGCACCAACACTATTTAGGTCATATGGCACTGGAAACATGATTTTGGCTAACCACAGGTGGATAAATCTTTGTTTGGTGTTTGACCAACATTTTTTGTGCTTGACAATGCTTCACAGGTTTTGAATTTCATATTTTCCTCAGACTTATCAAATCCCTCACCCTGCAGACTCAGGCTTAATATGCGTCCTAATGCGTGTCAACACATGATAAATGGTGCATTAACCATCTATCATTAATACCTTTCTAGATCATCACTTGCTGTTTTAAATGGTTTCATTTTTAAACTTGTTAAAACTCTGCATGTTTCTTTATGATTTTCTTCAGTCGTTGAGCCATGAAGATATTCCTTCATCTCAAGTGGCCCTGCTGGGGGTCTCAGCTATAAAAATGTATAAATCTGTGTTAGACTAAAACAAACAATAGCTGTCAGTAGGACAGTACGCTTGCCTAATCTGTGCTTAAGCGACCACCAAATATGATATTTAAAGATGTGTGTTAAGTTTTGTGTGAAAAGTTATATTCCCCTGTCCTTAATTGGTTGATATTGATTATCATTTCTCGATTCATATTATATTTCATTACATTACATAAATTAAAAGGATGATTTTTTAAATGTCTGGTAAAGCTAGTATTAATCTTTTTAGTATTAGGGAGAATAATCATCCTATCAACACATCATAAAATTTGAAAAAATTTGGGAAGGTTTTAATCAATTTTTGTTACACAATACATATGTGTTAAATAATGGAGACACTTTGTTTTTGAAACTCTCCACATGTAAGTACATATTATATAAGAGGCATAATGAATATATACAATAATTTCCATTATATTACTCCATGTTATTACTCTATGTATCAATTTTAAACCCTTAAAAATGAACCTTTAATTTCTTTTTAATATGTTTTAGAAATAAACCCAAAATATATTATATAATGCTATTATTCTGTCAAAAAATTAATAAATCCCTTTTTCAATATATAACAAAATAATTCTTACATGTTGAACTGGTTCAGAAAAGGTATAAGCCACTCTGTTTATCAGGGCTTCCGGTGGTAACTCTATACCGTCTGGTGTTTTGTTCTGTAACCTCAGGCTACTTCTCCGTGGCAAAATCTCCTTTGGAGCTTTTTCCCTAAAATTCAAAACAAAGAAATACTCTGAAAAGACAATAAAACAGTATGATCTGATCAACAAATACACAAATTTTTATCAATTTCATCAAAAGTTTAACCGCAGCAATATAAAATAATAATATAACAACCTCTTCATAAAGACCCAATCACCCAAATCGAGGTCAAATCTTTGCTCAAATGAGGAAAATCACTAATATCAGTCAGGTTAATGTCATGTGTTTACATCACTAGTATTTTTGATGATTATGAATATAAAATATCATTTTCCAAGCATAATTGATTTTTCTTCATTTTGTGCATATTTCAAAATAATATACATTTTCATTTAAAGTGACATTATGCTCATCAAAGTGTATATAGTGAGTGAAAAGATGAGTATCAAAATAAGTTTTCATTTTGCCATAATCCCTTTTTATTTAATAATTAAGTTTGCATAAACAATACATAACGCAGAGATCCCAACGGAATTTCTGTTAAATCCATTTGAATTTACCTTTAACGCTTAGTTTATAAAAAGAGTTGGACAGTCTTTTTAGATTTTAGGCAGAATTAAAATTTTAATCTAAACATTTTCCAATATCAACTGTTGGCCAAACACTATTTTGTAGTCAATCTTTAAAATATAAAGTCAATTCAGCTCATATTGACTATGAAAATATGAGCATAATGTCACTTTAACCAATAGCAGCAACTGAATCTACCAATGTGACCGGAGCAAATCAAGATCAACCTGAGTATCCGTGACGTCTGCTCATAATCTGCCCTATTGCTAGTTCTGATTTTGAAATTTTCTTTAAGAATAATGAATGGTTTTGTCCAGATTAAACAACAGACAAGTCCATTTGAGATATTTAGTATGGCAAGGGTTATTACTTTTTCAGGCCCCTATTAGATGGCGCAGTCTTCTTTACCGACGCAAGGAGATCTTGTTTAGCCTGTAATAAAATAATAAATTAATAATTAACATATGTCAAATTAAAAATTAATCCTCATTGAAAAAAGGAAAGCCAAAGTCAATTTATTTTCATTATAAATTGAAATTGAATAAAACTTGTTATTTTCCATGGTGAACTGCCACCATATTACTTAGAACAAAAAGATCAACAATTACTTTATCTTAACTTTCAACATGCTAAATCTGTAAAATGAGCATGCCCAAGTTAAATTTTTGGAATCGTCTATTCTTGCATATCAGACTGGCGTTTCCATGAGTAAAGAATTTAAAATATAATGGAATATGGTAGAATAAAATTTTAGATAATTTTAGCTGCCTGTTCATTTTAAATTTATTGAGATTCATGCTACATCAACACTTTAAGGAAAACAAGAGTTTGATTATGCCTTGGTGGTCAATTGTAATCCCATGAACATCAGCATATAATGGACGTATTTTCAGTAGTTCCTTTTCACAGTCTTTCCTTTCTCCTTATAGAACTGTCTCTGTTTCTTAAAACATTAAACCAATGCCACAAAGCAAAGCAATAACATTTATGGAATTCTAAGTTTTTTTCTATGAAAAACAAAAAACATTCACTATACCTTATCCAGACCAAACTGACTTAGAAATTCTCTGTTCAGACGTAGGTTTTCTTCACGTCTCTTGGCATAATCAATCTGAAATAAGAAATAAGTATGAACTAAGTAGTCACAACCAGTAATGTGTTGCCTTTTAAGGACTTATTTGGACACCTGAGATGCATTTGATTTTAATCTACAGGCAGAAATTTGCATAAACTAAGTATCACTAGTTATATGATAAAAATATGAAAAATGTTAAACTTCAATACAAAGAAGCAATTTGCATAAATTGATTTACAAGATTAAGAAACAACTGCTTTATGGTTCAAAGAAAAATTGTTGGGAAAAACTGATTAATATGCTTGCAAGTAATCAGGACAATAATAGGAATTTAAGTACAAAGGGATTTTTTAATACATGTATATATATTATAATTATTTATTTTGCAGATGTGACAATAAATTCCAATCAAAGATACATAACTCTTATTTATGTTTTTACTTTTTAAGACCAATTCTTATAAAAACTACTCCCACCCAGGGTGTCATTTTCAGACTTCCCGAAAGTTGAAAAAAACTGTCAGACATTCGGTCTGACAAACCATGAAAATCTGTCGGACCGAAACAAAATCTGTCGGACCAAATAAAATTGATCAAAATCAAAGAAAAACTTGTGTTTGTATTTCTAAGACACTTTTTGTCTTTTATTTTTTCGCCGTAAAAATCGGCACTATCCGTACAGCGCATTTTCATCTTCTCCCAGTCATACACCAATAATTCATGGTTCTGCTTCCATTTCTCATGAAACTTTGTCTCAGGTCTATTCTTTTCATCCTTTTATTGCTGTTCTGCGCACTCTTCTGACGTAGATTTTCGTTTTTCCCCAGGTTTGGCACCTTTAGCGACGCCATTTTGTATACATGCCGCTTGGATAAAAGCCGGACAGTCGGACCGATCCGGAATAAAAAAATGTCGGACCTGATCAAAATTTATCGGACATGTCCGTCGGACCGACGTATTTCGGGAAGTCTGCATTTTGACCCTTGAAATGACTTATTGACCCTACAAATGTCAAAAAGATCTGATTTGACCCTCAGGATTTAAACTTTAGTGTCAAATTTTGTTAAAATCATGGAGATTTGGCCTTGTATCTGGTCAAAATGATCCTCAGTGACACTGTTAAATCTTTCCACCAGAAAATTATGCAGAATGTGCGATAAAACTGAATTACATACATGTACATGTATTTGATATGATGATGCTTTGGCTAGAAGTAAAAAATTTCTCAATGACACCATTATTAACATGAACTTAAACTTTGAGGATTAAATGTGTAACAGGAATACATACTTCATAATCTGACAGATCACTGTCAGCACTGCCATCTTCCTCCTCCTCCACTTTCTCTACTTTCATTTTCTTTTTTTGTTTTGGACTCTCAGAGACCTGCAAATTATTGGCAACAAATGACACAACTACCAATTCCTATATAACTGCATATATATATATTGCAGTCTTTAGAATCATACAATTTTTTTAACTCGTATTACAATACCAACAAGAAGCGTCGCAATGCCATGAAAACCAGGTTTTCAACGACCAAGTTTTGATGTGACAGCAATCAAAAGGTCAAAGTGCACTGAAGTTATTGAGTAGAAGCTGAAAATTCTATTGTAAGCAAATGACCTTGACCCTGCTCCCAGATATCTAAGTGGCAATCCAAAGCTGCCACTCAGCAAGTTTGGTGTCAAAAGGTCAAAGCAAACTCAAGTTATAACATGAAAACTAAATACATTAACCTTCATCACAGACACCTGGGTAGCAATCCAAAGCTGCCTCTTGATATAAGCTACCCATTCATCAAGTTTGGTGTCAATAGGCCAAAGCAAAGTCAAGTTATTGAGCAGAAACTGAATTTCTATTTTAGTAACAGTGACATTGACCTTGATCACAGACACCTGGGTAGCAATCCCAAGCTACCTCTTGATATAAGCTAAACATACACCAAGTTTGGTGTCAATAGGCCAAAGCAAACTTAAGTTATTGAGCGGAAACTGAATTTCTATTTTTAGTAACAGTGACCTTGACCTTGATCACAGACACCTGGATAGCAATCCTAAGCTGCCTCTTGATATAAGTTATCCATACGCCAAGTTTGGTGTCAATAAGCCAAAGCAAACTCAAGTTATTGGGCAGAAACTGAATTTCTATTTTTCATAACAGTGACATTGACCTTGATCACAGACACCTGGGTAGCAATCCCAAGCTGCCCATTGATATAAGCTATCCATACACCAAGTTTGGTGTCAATAGGCCAAAGCAAACTCAAGTTATTGAGAGGAAACTGATTTTCTATTTTTAGTAACAGTGACCTTGACCTTGATCACAGACACCTGGGTAGCAATCCCAAGCTGCCTCTTGATATAAGCTACCTACACACCAAGTTTGGTGTCAATAGGCCATAGCAAACTCAAGTTATTGAGAGGAAACTTATTTTCTATTTTTAGGAACAGTGACCTTGACCTTGATGGCAGACACCTGGGTAGTAATCCCAAGCTGCCTCTTGATGTAAGCTACCTACACACCAAGTTTGGTGGCAATAGACCAAAGCAAACTCAAGTTATTGAGTGGAAACTGATTTTCTATTTTTAGTAACAGTGACCTTGCCCTTGATCACAGACACCTGGGTAGCAATCCCAAGCTGCCTCTTGATATAAGCTACCTACACACCAAGTTTGGTGTCAATAGGTCAAAGCAAACTCAAGTTATTGAGCAGAAACTGATTTTCTATTTTTAGTAACAGTGACCTTGACCTTGATCGCAGACACCTGGGTAGCAATCCCAAGCTGCCTCTTGATATAAGCTACCTACACACCTAGTTTGGTGTCAATAGTCCAAAGCAAACTCAAGTTATTGACTGGAAACTGATTTTCTATTTTTAGTAACAGTGACCTTGACCTTGATCACAGACACCTGGGTGAGTAACCAGAAGCATTCATTAGAGTTACGATCATCGTTAAGCCTTGGTTTAGCTCTAGTTAGTAATTTACTCTCTAACCAAAACGTTCGTTATACCAAAAATTGTAACGAAACTGTCGTTAAAATAACGAATACCTCAGAGTACACGTTAGACCTTCGTTGAAGGAAAAACAACAGGTGAAGCTCTTTCAAGAAACTTTTTATGAGTATATTTTATTTCTTATAGCGTATTTTCTTTCTATTTTCCTGATAATAGATAATAAGTTTTTGATACGGTGTTACAATCTGTATATGTCTTAATGTGTAATGTTATCATTATTTAATTATTTATTCATTTATTTATTTATTTTTATTATTATTATTATTACTGCATTCATTTTCAAAATAATATGTTAAAGTAACATTATGCCCCAATCTTTATTATTATTATTATTATTATTACTGCATTCATTTTTCAAAATAATACGTAAAAGTAACATTATGCCCATCCAATGGTATGTAGTGAGAGAATGGATGAATATCAAAATAAGTTTTCATTTTGTCATAATTCCTTTTAATTTTATAATTTAGTTCACATAAACAATAAATAACTCACAGATCCAAACGAAATTTGCTGTAAATATACATGAGATTTACCTTTAACGCTAAGTTTAACAATAATAATAAATGGCGCATACCGTACTCATTAAACTTGAGTGAGCATTTCTTTCGTAAATGATTTTTAGAATAATTCCAAATATCTTTATACAAATGATGTTGTTTTTTCATTCCGCAGACAATTATTTAGATAACTGACATACATGTACTTTGGACTCTCAAATATTTGAATGCTTCTTAGGAGGTTGATTTATTTCATTAATACACGACTTGTTGATCGCTATCTTCTGTGATAGTATTTTTTCGTATCTGTGTCATTCCCTCATATTTCCTTATTTCTCTAAGCAAGCCAACACTATTTGTATTGCATGTTTAACTACGCATAACATTCTTTCATGTATGGAATCAAATATATATAATATTACATTAAAGTTTCAAGTTTTTAATACTTAAAAGACTTATACCTTATACTAGTTCTATGTACAAAGTGAAATTAAGGAATTCAGCATAAACACATTCATGTACAATGAAAGAGCGTAACACAGTATATGGATAAATTTTGACGTTTTTGGTTATAATGAAATTCATCTGAGTATTTTAATAAAACTATTATATACGTTTCAAATGGGTTAAATTAACGGTTTACCTCTATTTTCATGAAAAGTAAAGATAATTAATCGAAACTTGCTTTGTTTCCCAATGTAATTTTCAAATTTTCACCAGTGTGTAACAAAGGTTATGTAAAGAATGTTTTACAGAAAAAGCAGTTCATTAATTAAAATCAAAACAAAAATTACGTTACTATTTAGCGTCAATATTTTTGAAAGAGTTCTTCGCAAGCATCGATTAAGATATCAGCGAAGATATTATTGCCATTGGCCAATAATCATTAAGTTTTAAAACTATGTTATTACCTTATTCTTAAAAGAAATATTTCACATTTATTGAAAAATTGATACTTTGCCTTTAAAAGGAAATATAATTAACAATTTCTCTTAAATTGTGTATAAATCTTTATTTATGTACATTTCATCACAAAGAAATATCAAATCATATATTTATATTACTTATTTAGCAGATAAGAGGATTATTTTACTTTTTTTTCTATCATTGTATATCTATCTCAAAAAATATCCAAATGTTATTGTTTTTTATTTACTTTGCACTTTAACATTTACTCTTTAATAGTGTACTCCTCTTTTTCATCACACACATATAACCTGTCAAGACCGAAATATTCTGTATCTTAATGATGAGGCAATGAACTTATATCTAGTCTCTCCTTTTCTATTTTTTGCACATCCAAAATGTTCAGTTGTTTCCTGTCTATATATTTTGCTAGAACGTTGTATAATGTTAAACTTTATTGTATTGTATTGTATCAATACAATACAATTCAATACAATAAAGTTTAACATTATAAGTTCATTGCCTCATCTTTAAGATGCAGAATATTTCGGTCTTGACAGGTTTTACAGGTTGTATCGTATTGTATATCCGACGACTTAGGATTGATTTCGTTAGACGCGTTTTTACGGCAAACGTATGATATATACATATGTAACAAACAAACAAACAAAACGATTTATAAAGAGTGTCAACTGTTTCTTTGAAGCAGTTGTGCGTTCACAGATATATGGTTGTACATTTGTACAAACATTTTTAAGCAATCTATAAATAATTTATAAACAATTATTTGTACGTGCAATGTAATCTATGCAGGAAAAGCTAATAACAGGTGGTGCCAAAATGCTGTGCATACCCTTAAGGATTACACAACGATTCCGTTAATGAATTTTACTAACAACTGATTAGCGATATGGTAACGATGCTTTCTGGTTATGCAACAAAAACAATCGTAAAAATAACTAACGTGTTTGTTACGCGATCGCTAATGCTTTCGTTAGCGTGATTTTAACGAAAGCTTCTGGTTAGTCACCCCTGGGTAGCAATCCAAAGCTGCCTCTTGATATAAGCTACCTACACACCAAGTTTGGTGTCAATAGGCCAAACCAAACTTAAGTTATTGAGCGGAAACCAAAAGTTGACGCCCACCCGCCGACTCTGGCATTACAATAACCCAGTTTTCGATGAAAACCTGGTTAAAAATACCTGTACTGGTCAGAGAGATAACTCTGACGCATAGATAACCATGACACTTGATAAATATAATTGTTATAATTTTGTTTTTCACAAACAAGCACATGGTCACCTAATAGTATATGAGCAGGACAGAATGTGATGATTTTTTTATAATTTGGTAAACTTTTTACTGTTTCTCAATAACTTTTCGTTAAAAACTGCTACAAAACGTTTTTTACTAGATTACAATAATGTAGTTAGAATTGTATTGACCACAGGCCCACTGACTTTGGAATGATTTGTAAAAAAATTGTTTTATAAATAAATAAAAAATAGATAAACCATAATTATAATTATAAGATGTAACAAGAGCTGTCGGTAGGATAGCAATGCTTGACTATTCTTAGTGCTTGATAGTAAAAGAGCCTTCAGGGCTTTTTTTCACAGGTTGGGGAAGCAGCCCAGCCCTTAATTTTGGGGAAAAATTACAGTGTATATTTGCAAAAGGGGAAGAAAAAACTTGATGTAAATTCAATTTTTGGGGAAAACTGCATGATTTTAAAGAAATTTTCTTTGGGGAAGCAGCCCTAAACCAGCCCCTGTTATAGAAGGTAAAAAGGCTCTGGCCTTGATAATGTAAAATTTTCTAAGTTAACAAAAGGGCCAAATTTTCCATTGAATCCAGGTTACTGATATAGGCCTTGAAGAGAGCCTATTATGCTCTCAAAGAAGAGTATAAAATTTCAAATTGTTTCAAAGCCAGATGTCAATGGACTATGAAAATATATGAGGTTATATGCAAACTTTAATGTAAATTCTAAGTCGAAAAAGGGACATTATTCTGTCAAAATGCTTGATACAGTTATCTCCTCCTGTGTTCAGGTTGGGGTCATGATGGTGAAAAAGTGTGCAATGTTTCAAAGCCAGAAGTCAATGGACTTTGAAAATATTTGAGGTATTGCAAAATATTTAATGTTAATTTTAAGTCGAAAAAGGGGCATTATTCTGTCAAAATGCTTGAAAGAGTTACCTCCTCCTGTCTACAGGTTGGGTAATGATGGTGATCAATTGTGCAAAGTTTCAAAACCATATGTCAATGGACTTTGAAAATATTTGAGGTATTTTGTTACAAAAACTGTTAAGTAAATTTTAAGTCGAAAAAGGGGCATAATTCTGTCAAAATGCTTGATAGAGTTATTTCCTCTTGTCTACAAGTTGGGGTCATGATGGTGAACAAGTGTGCAAAGTTTCAAAACCATATGTCAATGGACTTTGAAAATATTTGAGGTATTACAAAAACTTTAACGTAAATTCTAAGACAAAAACTTCAACGTAAAATCTAAGTCGAAAAAGGGGCATAATTCTGTCAAAATGCTTGATAGAGTTATTTCCTCTTGTCTACTAGTTGGGGTCATGATGGTGAACAAGTGTGCAAAGTTTCAAAGCATATGTCAATGGACTTTGAAAATATTTGAGGTATAACAAAAACTTTAACATAAGATGTGGTTACACCGACGCTGACACTCCGCTGACTACAATAGCTCTACTTATTCTTATCGAATAGTCAAGCTAAAAATAACAAAGTTATAGCCTGCCAATATTAGCCAAAAAAAATTGGAAATTTTTATAATTTGACCTTCGAGGTCAAGGTCATTTATGAGTGAAGGTCAAGGTCTGTCTGGTTATTTTTAAGGGATATCCTTGAAGATCATTATGTTCAAGTTTGAAGTCAATCCATTCAAAAATAATAAAGTTACAGCCAATAGCAGCATGAACAAGCAAATTTTGGACTTATAACCTTGAAGGTCAAGGTCATTTATGAATGAAGGTCAAGGTTAGTGTGGTCTACTGAAAAGTCTTGTCCCACCGGTTGTTGTGGCCAAGTATTGTGTTGTCTTTTACAAAGAAATGCAAATTAAAAACCATGAGGAAATGCATTATGCCCATGAAAGGAAACTACATGAAATGTAAATAAAATAGATTTCATGGCTTTTGCAGCTGATGCTACACGATGACCAAAAGGAAACTGTATGACAAAGAAGAGAGTTCCATTTGAATAGCAAAATGTTTCATACGTTTAATGATCATGAAAAATCAATACGTTAATTGAGTTAATAGTTTTAATTTAGTGTCTATTTTAGTGAAATACTGGGTTTTTCCAGTATTTTAATCTTGCCATTCAATAGTTGTAGTTTTACAGTAAAATTACTTACTGATTATTTAAAGATTAATTTTAATTCACAACTTCAAAAAATTTTGAAACACAATGTCCGGAAAATTGAATTGTCTACACGATTTTTACATCCTCTTGTAATGTCCTACTTTAAAAACACATTTCTGTGGTCAAATGTTCAATTTCATGTTTGATCAAGGAATGTTTACGTGTATTAAGAACCAAGAATTATTTGGGTAAAGTTCAATTTTTTTTTTATGATTTTAAATAAAAGTTACAGTGAAAAAACATCATACTTTGTCTGGTAATATGTTACTTATGTAGGATCCAGTGCTACAGATAAGCAGCGTATCTGCGTAATTACCCAATAATTTTGAGCAATTTACCCAAATAAAATAAAACCTTTGCGTAATAAAATGCAAATCAAAATATCAGTACCCAATTTATTTTGATACTTATTTCCAATATTTCGGACCGTAATTCACCAAGCAAAAACTGCTAAACAAATCAGAAAATAGCATGTTTCCCTTTCTGTAATTTTGTTCTCCATTTGTTAACCGGGAACAATTGAGTAGACTGGTTATTTTAAAGTTATTTTTTCGCGGAAAATGTTTATAAACTTATCAGAGAGAACTAATTTGCGGCCCAGACCAAAGTTGTCAGACACACTTTGTGAATGCTTAAAATAGTAGTTTCCCTTGATATCTGGCCAATCGGATAATAGCTTTCATCGGCGGAAATGTCACGCGACTTCCAATATGTATGCGGCCAGTTTCAATTTTACAGAAACTGATGTTAAGTTGATTTAGGTTTATTTACTTTCTGCTTCAACAAAATGGCGAAAGCCAGAGCTTAAGGATGTTGTAAAAAATTTGTTAAATGAACTTATAGACAATGTTTGTTCACAGTCTTTGTGTATATTGTTTTCGAGATACTGGACAATATTTTGACCGAAGCAAATCTATGCCAATTAATAAATTTTTTGATGATACCCAATTTTGTTTCTGTGTTACGCAATTGCTTGTCAAGACCAGCTCCCAGGGGAAAATACCCAATTAACTTAAAAGCTTATCTGAAGCTCTGGATCCCAGTATACTTATTATCATTAAACAAATCAGCAAAGTTGAGACTAGAAGCCAAATGGCAAATATGTTATTCCACCGCATTTTACAAACGAAACAGCAAACAACAAACTGGCTATCCTAATTTCCTATTCGATAAATAAAACTAAAAAGTATGAAACAAAAACAAAACAATCAAACCATTGTACAGAGAGAATTCATCAATATTTACTAATGTCAACAACACAAATTTATTTGTCCACTCCATCCGCTGACATCACACAAATTATCTCAACTTAAGGTTGAATATCATTTTTTTTCATAAAATCTTTGTCATAAAAATATTCTTCTATTGCATAAGCTTTTACCAGGTCTAGGATTTCATGATATTTATGGACTGTCCGTAAATTTATGGACAGTCTAGAAATTTAAAGATTTTTCAATCCATAAATTTACAGATATTCAATGTGAAATTTCCTGTTTTTAGTTTTACAATAAAATCCGCAGCTTAAGACAAGTTGTTTTATTGATTGTTTATATTTACAAAGGTAATGGGGTGGGTTTCATCTTTGTATGATGATTTTGAAATTTTTGTTAAAAGTGAAAATTGAAAGTCATCAAACTGTTCTGAATCTTAGCATACTGTTACATTTAATCATATAATACCTAACCTTATTCATTTTAACCTGCGGTTTTAAATTTTAATGCAACTTCTACTATTTTTTTACTTAAGGTCTGTAAATTTACAGACAAAAAAATCTATAAAATTATGGATCGTCCAAAAATTTACAGACTGTCCGTAAATATCATGAAATCTTAGACCTGTTTACGGTACCTTTCTTTTCATTTCAAGCTGTTCATCTTTAGAACAAGAACTTTTGGATTTTCGGGTTCTCAGTGAAGGCATTGTTGTATTTACTGTGAGGCGTACGGCGTTATTTTCAATGAGTATTATTAAAAGTTACGAAACATTTAATTTTACCCGCGATTTTGGTTTGTTATGTAAATAACCAGTTTCCGGTGAGGTATAAAACACGTCCCATCTCTTCCATATAAATTTATCAACAGGACGGGATTGATGAAAACACGGTGTCCCGATTAACTATATATGAACACACCTAAGTGTGTCGGACCCCTTTGAAAGCAATGATAAAGATGGTTTTATCAGACAAACAGAACTTCCAAACCTTTCCCGTGTCGGCAAAAATATTTTCTGAAGTATTGATTTACCTAAAATGGGGTCTTAGTTAATATTGCGCCTAGCATTCCCAGGTGTTGAGCACTTCTTTTTGAAAGTCGCAAGTTCCGAGAGTTCTCTCACGTAACTTTAGATAACAGGCAAAACTTCAAAACATATAAATCGTTGTACTATTTTAAATGCCGTTTAGCATAGAAAACAAATTTCTCTTAAAAAAAACAACTTAATATTAGCCGTTTTGAAAAAACAAATCATATTTCAACGTCTATATAATGCATGTGCTGGGACTGACAAAAATATACATTTTATTTGGATTTTAAAGGCGTTTAAAGCTCCACACCCCAAGTGTGATATAAATTTATACGATATGTTTAATGTTGAAAAAAAACAAACCACTTCCGTTTAATTCATTTTTATTTTACAGGCATTTCTAGAAAGCTTTTGTTATAATCATCCATTTGATGCCCAAATTATTAAAGTCAACACCTGGGAATGCTAGGCGCAATATTAACTAAGACCCCATTATAGGTAAATCAATACTTCAGAAAATATTTTTGCCGACACGGGAAAGGTTTGGAAGTTCTGTTTGTCTGATAAAACCATCTTTATCATTGCTTTCAAAGGGGTCCGACACACTTAGGTGTGTTCATATATAGTGTAATTAACTTACACAAGCAATTTAGCAAAAAAATATAGGGAAAAATATTTTATATATAGAGACTCTATATAAAATATTTGTCCCTATGTTTTATTAATTTATTTAAAGTTTTATTTTACAGGCATTCCTAGAAAGCTTTTGTTATAATCATCCATTTGATGCCCAAATTATTAAAGTCGGATATGAAATAAAGAAGTTAATCGGGACACCGTGTTTTCATCAAGCCCGTCCTGTTGATAAATTTATATGGAAGAGATGGGACGTGTTTTATACCTCACCGGAAACTGGTTATTTACATAACAAACCAAAATCGCGGGTAAAATTAAATGTTTCGTAACTTTTAATAATACTCATTGAAAATAACGCCGTACGCCTCACAGTAAATACAACAATGCCTTCACTGAGAACCCGAAAATCCAAAAGTTCTTGTTATAAAGATGAACAGCTTGAAATGAAAAGAAAGGTACCGTAAAAACGGAAAAGAGTCAACTCGGCCCTATACCAACTCGGCACGGGTCAACTCGGCACGGGTCAACTCGGCCCACTTTACAAAAATATATAGGCCTATAACGCATTTACTTTGCTTTGCATGTTGTTAAGGTAAATGAATAATAAGAAATATATTATTATTATTATGCCCCCACTTCGAAGAAGAGGGGGTATATTGCTTTGCACTTGTCGAACCGTTGGTCCGTCGGTCCGTAGACCAAATGCTTTCCGAGTGATAACTAAAGAACCTTAAGGCCTAGGAACTTCAAACTTGGTATGGTGATTGGTCATGACCAGTAGATGACCCCTATTGATTTTGGGGTCAAGGGGTCAAAGGTCAAGGTCACATTGACCTCTTAGGTAAAAACGGTTTCCGATCAATAACTAAAGAACCTTAAGGCCTAGGAACTTCAAACTTGGTATGGTGATTAGTCATGACCAGTAGATGACCCCTATTGATTTTGGGGTCAAGGGGTCAAAGGTCAAGGTCAAATTGACCTTGTAAGCAAAAACGGTTTCCGATCAATAACTAAAGAACCTTAAGGCCTAGGAACTTCAAACTTGGTATGGTGATTAGTCATGACCAGTAGATGACCCCTATTGATTTTGGGGTCAAGGGGTCAAAGGTCAAGGTCACATTGACCTTGTAAGCAAAAACGGTTTGATCAATAACTAAAGAACCTTAAGGCCTAGGAACTTCAATTTTGGTATGGTGATTGGTCATGACCAGCAGATGACCCCTATTGATTTTGGGGTCAAGGGGTCAAAGGTCAAGGTCAAATCGACCTCTTAGGTAAAAACGGTTTCCGATCAATAACTAAAGAACCCTTAGGCCTATGAACTTCAAACTTGGTATGGTGATTGGCTATGACCAGCCGATGACCCCTATTGATTTTGGGGTTTAGGGGTCAAAGGTCAAGGTCACATTGACTTTCTAGGTAAAAATGGTTTCCGATCAATAACTAAAGCACCCCTAGGCCTAGGAACTTCAAACTTGATATGGTGATTGGTCATGATCAGTAGATGTCTGCTATTGATTTTGGGGTCAAGGTGTCAAAGGTCAAGGTCACATTGACGTCTTAGGTAAAAACGGTTTCTGATCAATAACTAAAGAACCCTTAGGCCTAGGAATTTCAAACTTGGTATTGTGATTGGTCATGACCAGTAGATGACCCCTATTGATTTTGGGGTTAAGGGGTCAAAGGTCAAGGTCACATTCACCTTGTAGGTAAAAATGGTTTCCGATCAATAACTTTAGAATCCTGAGGCCTAGGAACTTTAAACTTGGTATGGTGATTGGACATGACCAGCAGATGACCCCTATTGATTTTGGGGTCAAAGGGTCAAAGGTCAAGGTCACATTGACCTTGTAGGTGGAAACTGTTTCCTATCAATTAACTAAAAAGCTTAGGCCTAGGAACTTCAAACTTTGTATTATGATTGGTCGTGACCAGCAGATGACCCCTATTGAGTTTTTGGTCAAGGGGTCAAAGGTTAAGGTCACATTTACCTTGTAAGTAAAAACAGTTTCTGATCTATAACTAAAGAACGCTTAGGCCTAGGCACTTCAAACTTGGTATGGTGATTGGTCATGACCAGCAGATGACATCTATTGATTTTGGGTCAAGGGGTCAAAGGTCACATTGACCTTGTAGGTAAAAACGGTTTCCGATTAATAACTAAAGAACGACTAGGCCTAGAAACTTCAAACTTGGTATGATGATTGGTCATTGCCAGCAGGTAACCCCTATTGATTTTGGGGTCAAGGGTTCCAAGGTCAAGGTCACATTGACCTTGTACTTAATGACGGTTTCTGACCAATAACTCAGCAACTCAAGTTGCCTTGGTTGATATTTTTATATTAAACTAAAAATGCTTTTGGTATACACATTTGAAGGTCTAATGTAATATCACAACTTGGCTGTCATTAATGAGGCCTACATGATTCATAAATTTTATGCATATATTATTTGGTAAGATTTGCAATAACTTAAATTGCTGCACACAACCTATGGGGTCACAATAATTATTACCTTGTGACTAGTCATGACCAGTAGATACTAGATAACCCTTATTAATTGTTTGTTCACTGGGTCAGAAGTCATGCATAATAACCTGAGCACATGACTAATTGGCTGCCGATAGGGGGCATACATGTTTTACAAACATATCTTGTTATATAATTATACATTGTACCTCTGCTGAAATAAAGTATATTTAGAAAAAAAAGTTATTTATTTGTCTTGCAGATTCGATAAAATTAATAAAGACACAGGCACGATTATCAAACCTGGGAAGAAAAAATATGAACATATTGATAAAATAACTTCATATTTTTTCTTCCCAGGTCCGATACTTGTGCCTGTGAATATAGATATAATAAAAATGTGTTTCCTTAGATGCATTTTGTTTGTAAAGTAATTTTCAAAAAAATATGAAACAAAAACATGTACTTAATAGCATAAGCTTCTAATTAATTGCAGGTGGTCACTAATCAAATTTGAATGAATGAGTCAGTCATAATTATCACCTGATTAATCGGTATCTTTAACATACACATTGATTGATAATAATAGCCCGTGACAATATAGGAGTCCTTTGATGTCCTTTACCCATTTTTAAAAGTGGGCCGAGTTGACCCGTGCCGAGTTGGAATAGGGCCGAGCTGACTCGGGGGCCGAGTATGTTTTAGGGCCGAGCTGACCCGGATTCGTAAAAACTTATGCAATAGAAGAATATTTTTATTTTTATGACAAAAAGATTTTATGGAAAAAAATGATATTCAAACTAAAGTTGAGATAATTTGTGTGATGTCAGCGGATGGAGTGGACAAATAGATTTGTGTTGTTGACATTAGTAAATATTGATGAATTCTCTCTGAACAATGGGTCTGTCTAAAAGTACACGGTTGAGCAAAGCGTACTTCGTACACGGTTGAGAGAGAACCGCCTTTCTAATAGTGGGCGTGGTTTAACCTTTGTAACTAACAATTTAACGATTGGTACAGTAAGTCTGCTGGGAACCAGACTGTTCGTGTTATGTTGGCATTACTTGTCATAAATGAGGATATTGAGTAACTTCAGTACTTTATTTATTGAATGATTGGACTGGAATTATGCTTTTCTCTCGTCGATTCGTGACTCTTATTTGGAAAAATTGCACTTGCACAACAAATATCAGCCATACATACAGTTCAATTAGTGCATTTGTTAAATAAATTCATTATCTAAAAGTTCAAAAACTTTAAATTACTTCTAAAAACAACCGTTCAAAGATTAGAGCAACTGAACATGTCAACCATGACTGTCTTGCTCAGCTGGACGCTTACCCATCGATTCGTGAAATCCGATTCAACCTGTGACGTCATCAAAATATAGGTGCTCACACCACTAAATGTTCGCATGGTTATTTTCAGCCCGATCTGATCAATATATGTTTCAAAGTCTTAAGTAAATTCTTACAGCATAATGAATATTTTTTTGGCTTAAGTGTAAGTGTGTTTGATAAATTAAAACATCAATATCGAATATTTTAAAGTAATTAGGTCACCAGCTGATTGTAGGGTAAGATCATTTACACCTGTTCAATTACGCATTTTGATTGGATAGAATTGTCAAATCGAGTGTCTAATAAAACTTGTGTAGTTTTCAGATGGTGTATGTCCTTGCAGAAGTATTTATACCAGA